TCCAAATGTTTACAAACCTTTAAATGATTAAATATTTAGAAGAAAAATACAATTCTAATAAATTAAAAATTAAATATTATCTTCTCTGTAACTCTCAATAAATAAAAAAACAAATAACTATTATTAAGTGTTAAAAACTTGTAATTATACATTAAATACTATGTTTTGTAGGTTATTCTAATACGTATAATAAAATAATAACATCTAATTATTGCTATGAAAGAATTCATATATTATTACAGATAATTATGATTTCTGAATTACCAATTTTTTTATAAAATCAATATTGTCTTTGTCGTGGTTTTTATTGATATTTGATACGTTTACAAACTACAGAATAGGTTGAAGCATTTTATTGATAGTAATTTTATCACTTTCAGTCGGACAAACCTCTGATTATTATTGCGTAAATAGTAAATATTGTAAAATACAAAACAATGGCCACAAAATTGTGCAAACATATTGATAAAAATGAAATGACAGTAATGACATGGGTTTTAATGTTTAGGTACACGCAGAGGAAGAAGTACTAGAAAAACAACAAGACGATGAAGTCGTACAAGAATGGACTACAGCGCATAGTTTTCGTTTTTATTTTACCGCTGCAGCAACTGCTGCAGCTGCATCGATGAATGTTCCTCTGGATTTATCTCCGTCACACGCATTATTCGATGTGAGTAGTAATAATACGCATCAATATTATTATTACTGAAATTTTAATAAAATTTTAATCTTTTCAGAATAATAATACCCTAAAATTACAAGAGGATCAACAAAAACTCAAACAAGAACAATTTCATATGGTAATCGAACAGTCGATCGTACAACAACCCACAAATATGAATGCCGCCGATCAGCTACAAACATTGTGTCAGCAATTGGGTTTTCGAGCCGTTTACGTTCGTGTAAATGATTTAATATCGAATAATACCAATCAAAAAGGTGATGTATTTAAAAATAATTTCTATAAAATAGTGTCGAGCAGAATAAGCAGAATAATAAAATCAAATTTTGTTGGGCTTTGGTGAAATATATTACAGAAATCGAAAATCAAACTGAAGAGTATGCAGTTCTAGTTCAAGTAAGCACAGTACCTGTAACCGTTACTGTAGGACGTGCTGCTACGGCCGACGATGCAGTTCAGGTTGCGGCCGAACGCGTATTATATGCATTTAAAGCCATGTTACTTATCACTTCATGCCCGGTCGATAATTTAAACAATAATAATGAACAGAGGCATAACATGTCAACGAACAATTTTTGCTACGTGAAAATTTAACTAAAATTCTAGGTATAGGAAATTTATTTAAAATACTTACATTTTAGTTATTTGTTAATTTATTTATTACTGATATTTTGTTAAGGTTAATTTTAGTACAATTTTATAATATTATTATTATTGGTGTGTCCGCAATATTTTTGATACAAATGTTGTTTTTGTTAAGTTATAATCAATATTTTACAATTGAGCCTTTTTGTTCAATGTTTTTTTTTTCTTTTATTATTCATAATTTTACCGTCATTGTTATATTTATTGTACACGTCCCATATTACTATTTATATTAAAAATAATAACTACATTTTTATTTATTACAGAAAATCGAATAGCTATAAAAAAAAAAAAAAAATGAGTATTAAAATAAAAATAAAATTAATACTACCTTTTGACAAAAAAAAAAACCACAATTATTTCAAATACCTATTGTAGCAATATTATTATATTTAATTAACATAATGATTACCTTTTGATAACGAACACGAATGCTGTCGGATACGAATGCAACAACGATGATTACACGGATAGCGACATTAATGAATTTTATTAATTTTGATTTGACAGTTTTGTTTTACTTCATTTGATTATGTCGACGACAATCGATGGGTTCTTAGATCAACACACACACACACACAATATGCGCCGTATGAACATTGAACAACAATAGCAATTAAAAATCACAACATAGTTACAATACAGTAGCCGCTCTATTGCGATTAGTATGATCTAATAAATAGATTAGGTCGTGTTAAGTTCAATAAAATTAATAATATGATTAAAAAAACAATGGTATAGTCGTTTTTACACTTCGTCGTTGATTTGCATAGTATTGAAAGAAAAATGGAATTTGCATTTTTACTATCAAAACATTGTGTGCTTAAAGTTCAAGGATCAGCTGATAACAAACAATACCCTGGTATACTACTTGAATGTTATCACATAATAGCTGTAATGTAATGATAACAGAATGGAATATTCTGAAAATGTTGTTATCTATTGTTATTAGTGATCAATATTTGATAATCGATTCCAGAGTCGGTGAAATCTGCGTCTAAATCCTAATATTTTACGTTTTAATGCAAAAATATCCCAACTAATTCAATTAAACGCAAACCGTATTCTAAGTATAAGCCTTTCGTCGTTTGTATTGTAAATCAATTATATTACAGTGTCGAATAATCATCCAAACATCATTACAACATTGTCTTTCTAAACTTGTGAGATTGTTTTTTTTTATTTTCCAAATCGTTTTTCGGCGGACATCCCTCGTGTTTGTTTGTTTTTTTTTTTTACAGTCAATAGTGGAAACGCGTTTTGAAATAGCGTTCGATTAAGCGGTTTTCATTTTGTACCAGTACAATTTTTTTTTATACTTGCCCGTGAGTACATACAAAAAGCTGTGAAACATGATGGCAGCAAAGGGTTTTAAAAGGTTCGTCGTCGACAACAAAGAAGTGCTCATGTTTCTGGTCGGATTCGGTGTCATGCATTACGGATGGTATAATCTACAACGTAACAGTACTTTGAATAAAGCCTTGAACGCGTCTCACGAAAAGGAGCTTAAGGACGTAAGTGTTCGGTCAATTGTTCTTTATACAAATAATATAATATTATACCTAGGCACAGAGTGATCAACTGAAAGTGGTAGTGGTATTTTTGGTCAGAAAACAATTGCAATTTAATAGGTTTTTGTTAATATTATATTTTGGGTTTTTATCAACTTTCAAAATCCAAACGAGAAGGTGTATACTAGAAAAAAACTTAGCAAATTATAGTTATAACTCATATATATTAAAGAATATTTAAAAACCTTCAACCATAAAATAATACATTCGTATACGTATTACGGAAACAAAGCTGTCATCTTCAGCGTTAACAACGGACTGAGACCGATTACGGGTATGATGCAAATATGATTTTTAGATTAGTTAAAAAGCATAAATAGTCAAAGGAAGTTAGAACAGCCAGCACGCTTAGTAGGAGGGACAAAGAAAAAATGATTAGATCGGGTGTGGTTTATTTTAAGGGGGTTAACAACCATTTTTAAAAATTACGGTACAACTCTAGTTGCATCAAAAAGTAATAACATAAAATGTCAACAAGGTAGTACCAAAGATAAAATAGGGAAGAGAAAAAATCGGAGATTTATAAAATACAATGTGATAAATGCTATGTAGGTCGGACAAAACAAAACGTTGGGTTTAGGTACACAAATCTGTTGCGGAACATTTATTGGATACTAATTTTTTTACTGGTCGATATCCAGAGTTAAATATGTGAGTTTAATTTTTAAAAGTTAGAAAATTTGGCAATTAAATATATTTAACCTCGAATAACTCTAACCTAAATAAATAATTTGGGTTCTGTGTTCTGAAATTAAGAATTAAGCTCTATGACAGAATGAAATGGTAGTCAATATTTTTGGGACAATTTCGGAAAGGTAGTGTTGATTGGATGTCACAAGGGAATTACGGAGAGAGAATTTCCTTATGATAAAGATAGTTTGAATGAACAAAAAGGCACCGTCAAGTGTGACGAAATAAAGACGACAAAATATGTGACTTTTGTTTATTAAAGAAGAATTAATGACTCCGTTATGTCTTAAAGGTTTTTATTTTTATTATAATTATTATTATTATATTAAATTTCTAGGCGTACAAGCGACTGGAAAATGAAATCAACGAAAATTGGCCCGATCAAAAGCAGCAACTACAGCATCAGCAGCAGTTTTTACTGAAAAATCCTCCTAAAAACACTAATTAAAAAACAATAGCTTTTTGTAGATTTTCATTGATAAACTGTTAGCTATAATTAGAATTATTTTTTAATCGGTAATCGTACTTCTATTTTTTTTTTTTTTGTTATTGAGATGTATTCGAAAAATAAATTTAATAAACCTAAAAAAAAAAAAAATTGTACAATGATATATTATTCTGTTGTGGTAAATTTACATAGTTGAGTTTGGCAACTGTTTTGTATATTATTAAGAATTAAGAAAGCATGCGGCTGGAATTAGCATCAACTAACTCTAGTCTTTTAGTTTAACCGTAAAAGATAACTTTAATTATAATTTATGTATGTATAGTTTATGTTTGTAATTGTTAACATGATAAAATAGAATATATCTGTGTGACAACAATTAAATAAGAACCTCTTTATTTATTTTTTTTTTTTTTGGTTAAAAAATTATAAAATCTGTCGTTGGTATACATTATTTTTTTTGGTTTCGTAAGTGGTGTATAATATTATTAGTGGTAATATATTTGATATTTTTCAACAATTTTTATTATCTAGACTGTGATCACAGCTGTTAGTCTCGACGTCCATTTTGTTGACAACATTAAACTAAATGACAAATCCAGTTCTACGACAGAATGAAACTGTATGTAATGTAATCAGGATAACTGCGGAAGAGAGTACCAATTGGATGTCAAAAGCAAATGTTTTCACTAAATAATAAATATATATAAAATAGGTAAAAAAAACCATTGGAGGAGTGTGTATTTATATTTTCTCGTAAAATGCATTGAGGCGTTTTTATTTACTTTACGAGATTTTCTTTCTTAAGATCAGATACCATACAGGGTACATATTGTTATATGTTAGAAAAATGCATTACAAATACTTCTATGAATGGTTTAGAAGTTACTCATTTTCTTTTCCGGCTCATAGTAATGGACAAGTTCAACCAGTAATGTTTACTTTATACCGAACCAGTATAATGTTTAAGTATAATATTATGAAGTTTTATTAAAATAAATATAAAAATTTAAATCTATTGATAATTTACAATTAGGAAAAAAATAGACGATGTGAAGATGTAGTATTATCCAAACCATTTGATTCAGTTAAGTCTTGACTGTAGGCATGTTCAACATGAAAGAATCGTATTGACGCTGGTTAAGCCTGAAATGGCAAATTTTTGTTTGTCATCAAAAAAATATGTAGACACTTTTAAACTACCGTAGAAAAATAATTACATTCAATCATTATCGTCTTCGTTATCAACAGCATCGGCAATGTCATCGTCATCATCATCATCATCATCTTCGAGAACATCAACAAAGTCTGCCGCTTTGGGTTGGCGCCAACTACTCGTGTTGAAATTGTAGGGCGCTACGACTCTTCTCGCCGGTTGTTCCGATTTTATTTCCTTAACGAAAAATAAAAATATAATACACCCTACACACAAGAAATTTGCTGTTTTTTTTTTTTTTTAACTCACCTTTATTTTATTTTCTTGAACGATCTGCAATGTGACCGATTCTCTAAGACTTATTGGTGCAATTTTTCTATTGTTATCTATTGGTTTTTTTATCGGTTTATTAGGTACAAAACGCGTTTTTCCTGGTGAATGTAAATCGATGCGCCCGCATAAATTTTTAGCAAACCGTTCGATCGTCTTGAATTCCTGAGACTCTTCCTTGTTTGGATTTCCTTTCGTAGAGCTTTCGACTTCCATTAAATCTGAAGGTTTTATCAATGGTTCTCCTACGGGTTGTTCTTCTCTAAACAAACAAAAAAAAAAAAAATAATAAAACTCGGTTTATAAACAAGTTAAACATTATAAAACAAAATTATTATTCTTTGCGTACTTACTTGATAATTATTTTGGCTTGATTAACTCCAGAATGTGACGCGATCATCTTAAGAACATTTGTGTCGTCTTCGAGAATTTGCTCACAGCTAGATTGTTGGTCGTACGTTGCATGTTTACCAGACCATTCGAGTGTGTCCAGCTGGTCTTTACCAATATTCAGCACAGCCAAATCTTCACATAGCTTATCGTGTTCACGACGTTTTTCTATTTCGATTTCTACCAGGTTTAAAAAATTCTTCACCTTCTCACCTTTGTCGGGTAACGTATCCAAAAAACGTCTAAATAAAAGGTGACATCATAATTATTGTACTATACATTGGTAAAAAAATCAATATGAACAGGGCCACATTAACGTTAGTGCAAAAGGGGCAAATGTTCCCAGCGCCAAATTTTGAGGGGCATCAAAATTAAAATTATCCCAAAAAAAAAATTGGAGTAATATTATTTATACAACTTTTTTTTACTTAAAATGCGGTCGTTAAGTAGTCGAAAAATTTTTCGTTCCCGAATATAGAAATAATCTAAAGCATTATTAGTACTTTACCTTTTTCAATTTATTAATGTAAATGTCTTTTTCAGTGTTAATGGCACAATTTAAGATCATTATTAATCCATGAAAAATTATCAAATTAATCCATATTATGTATCGTATCAGATTTTGTTAAGGAAATAAAATGAGAAGACCTTATACAAAAATTTGCACAAACAAAATGTAGAAAAAAACATATTTAAATACAGAACAATATTTTTTATTTTTTTTTTAAAGTAACCATAACATTATAATTTAAAAACTAAACTATAAAACTGTCTTGTCAATTTTTTTTTGGAGGGGAAGGGGAGCAGCAATAATTGTTTACTCCACGGCAGTATTAGCTCTTAATGTGGCCCTGAATATGTATGATTTTTAGATTAGAAAATTTACCAAACAAATCTAAACAAGCGGAAAATACTCTACTTAGGATAAGATTTAATGATAATATGCATCTAAATTTAAAAACAAATTTTGCTGAAAAATGTATTGTAAATAAAAAAACCTTTAACGAAACTAAAAACAAAGTATAAATAAGACATATACTATTTTTATTTATTTAGATTTGTTTGGTAGTTTTTTTCCTTAAATATTACACAAATCAATGGCCATAGGTCAAACAGAGATAATTTTTAATTTAGTTACGCTTTTATATAATAATCTGCAGGTTTAAATTGTTTGTTAAGTAAATTATAAAGCAAAAATTGTAAATATTTTAAACATTTTCAATGGACCTTTCAACACAGATATTTTATTACAAATACTAATGACAATATACTGTTACAGTTTGGTTTTGTTGTTCAATAAATGCACAATTTTGTTATCAGTTTGTTAAGTCGGAGAAAAACGTTGGGTGTTTTATGGGACGAGGCAATTTCTACAAGAGTATGGTGAGACCGACTATGTTATATGGATCGGAATGTCAAGCGGTATATAGGAAAATAGAATAAATAACGAATGTAGCAGAGATGTGAACGCTTAGGCAGATGGGTGAAATGATGAGACGATATGATAAAGAACAAATACGTTGGATATAGCATAAACATGGTTCCATAACAGACAAAATGAGAGAAAATAGACCGAAACGGTTTGGCGATATTATGAGAAGAGAGCAGTAAGAATGGTAATGAAAATAAACGTAGAAAGAAAGAAGAAGACCGAAACAAAAAAAAAAAGGTGGTGGATGCCAAATGGAAAATGACAGTTGGGATGATAGCGAAGGAGAAGAACATTGTAATTAGTTAAATAATTATTGTTCTAACATTATAGTTGTAGATGCAACAGATATTAATCTAGAGGTATTGGAAATCACTACAACGCAGGACATCCATGAACAAATTAAAAGAGCAATTAATAAACACAATCTAAATGAATGGCACAGAATAAGAGTTAACAAACTAAGAGAGATAAAACTTACCACCAACAATTGGACAGACAACTCTCAACTAAACCGTAAAGAATCGGTGGTCTTAACAAGGCTCCGAATCGGACACACACGGTTAACCCACAATCATCTTATGAAGAAAAAAAGAAGTTCAGCTATGCGAGATGTGTAATAATGCAGTGACAGTAAAACACATATTCACCAAATGTAGGAAATACAAAAACTACCAAACGGAATATAACATGCCAGAACAGCTACAGGCAACTCTACACACCAACAAACAATCCGAAAGAAACATCCTACAATTCCTCAAAAAAGCAATGCTGTACACTTTAATTTAAACAATCCTGTAATATTGTCTAATATATTGTAAAAATAACTATAGTTCAGGAGGTGTCGAGGCTTTAATAATAAAAAAAAATAATAATAATATATAAAAGTACATTACATGTTTTTTAAGATTTTACTCTGTCGTTCCAGTAACTCTTGGAGCTGGCCAAGGGTCTTTTCTTTTAGGTCGACTTTGTTTTCGTTGAAACTTTTACATTTAGTCGAAAACATTGTAGTTTATTTTACTATACTAGCTATACAAACAACACGGCGTCCAAGTTCGTAATAAATAATAAGTAATGTTTAGTAAACATAAATTAATGATTAGTAGTGATACCATCGGCAGGCCCCGGACACTGATAAAAATTAACATGGGAAAGATTCTTATCACACAAAAACGCGGCGGCCATCTTGTTAAGGTGAGATACAGATGTAACACATAACACTGAAAAGATCTTTACAACATGGTCGTCACTTTTTTTATTTACATCTAAAGTGACTCTTCTGATTTTATCTATTCTGTTTGATAACGACTCCGGGAGATAAGAACACGGGATAGACGAAAGCATAAGCACAGAATAGATTGAATTTAGTCTAGTCCGCTACTCAATAATACTATTTTAAAAATATTCTGTTAAATCGACGAATTCGGTAGTGAAAATAACTAAAATTCAGTTATTCATGAACGGTTTTACGATGCTAAATTATCGATTTTAAAGAGTTGATTAATTTGATTTTTGAATATTTTTTTTTCATTATAACAACTCAAATCTGTAATCCTTTAGTGTTTAGTTAACAGCACTTAGTTTGACCTCACAGACTAAACAACTAACGTTTTTACCACAATGCCAGCGTTTAATTTCAGCGGACCCGCAGAGATATTAAGAGCCGAACAAAAAGATGAAGAACAATGTGAAAAAATCAACAGACAATTATCTGAATTTTTATTAAAACTTAAAGGTAAGTCTCGAAACATTACGATTCGTTTTGTGTTCCAAATATATATATATATATATATTTATTTGTATTGTTTATTTTAAAATGTGCAGGTCATATTTTCATTAATAAAAACAGGAAAACCATATTATGTGCGTCACAAATGCTTTACTATGGGCTCACCACTCTGTCTAGATTACAGACATTGGGAGAGGAATACACCAGGATTGTACAAGTTGGAAAAACCGGCAGACACATTCCAGGATTTATGGTAATCGAATATAATATCAGCATTAAATGTTACTGCGATCTTTGCGATACTAAAACTGTAATTCTTGTTAAATTATTCGCAGCAAACTATTGGAATGCTTTCGATGTTTATTATTGGAGATCAACTCATACTACGTTGCATAGACTATATCGCCGATTATATACAAGCCAATGAATCCATAACCGAAACTGCGAAACATCAAATAATTCACACTTTGAAAATAGTTAAATCCATACTGCCGATCGTTCAAAGTTTTAACCGAGTGTTGTTCTATTGGAACGCTTCTTTTTACACATGGTCAAAACGCTTTTTCAACATCCGATACGTAAGTTTCGATCTCATTATGATGAAAATGACATATAAAATATATAAAATTACATTGTAATATTTACATTTTCCCATAGATATTTGCTGTTCCGTGGTATCGTCCTTCACAATCTTTGCACGTATTTAAAATACTCAGCATAGTCTCGGCTATTCATATCAGCACACTTATGTTAGTTTCTTTGTCAAAAAGTAATGATACCGAAACCACAGACGACGATGTAGTAACTGAACCAACGTCAGACAGTAACAAATGTTCACTTTGCTTGGAAATGAGAACTCATACTTCGCTGGCCGTTTGTGGTCATTTGTTCTGCTGGAATTGCATACACGAATGGTTGCAAACTAATAAATTTTGTCCGTTGTGTCGCAAAGTCCTGGACCCCAGGAAAATCATACCATTGCAAAATTATGCTTAAATAATATTGATAGAGATATTTGTTTTTACTTACGGAACATGTTTGGTGATCTGTACAATTTTTGGGGATAACATATATTTTTTTATAGAATAACATATTACATAATTGTATGTATTAATCGCATTTGTATGACAAGAACAGGCCAACACGGTCATCATTTCCCCTCTATCTAAATAAATGGATGTACGATTAAAAGTTAAATATATACTTAGGTGTAACGAAAAGTGATTTGTATATAATGAATTATTATTTAATGATAATTAAATGTAAATACTATTGATTAACCGTTTTCTTTATAATGTATATTGTAATATCTGGAACTTATGTGTACTCTGTTAATAATAAGGTACGAATTGTAAAATAATAAATTCACCTAAAACACATTTGAGACTGCCAAGCAATTGTCTATTGACCACCGAGTTAATTTATTTTAAGCATGCTTAAATGTTTTATAGTTTTAACCTTAATACTGTAATTACAGTGTGATTGGTTATAAAATTCCTGATAATTTAATTAACTATCTAATAATTGTTTACTTTTATAGATTTTCTGACACGTGTAATCTTAATAATTTAGATTGAGTTTAAATATTTAATATTCAAATAATTATAATTATGGATCTTCGTGGAAATGAATGGGTAAAAATGTTTGGTTTGTTTTTTTAATGATCTATATATATATATATATATATATATATAAATTGCACTTCTCAACATTTTGAAGGATTTCGACTAATTTTAATGTGTGTTGTACACACATAAAAAAAAACATGGTCACGTAGTCCGAATATCTATTAATATAGTCTTTTGAGAGGTTTAAAAGAGCTCAGATACCTATCATTTTAAACATAAATAATAATATATAGGTTACTGCTACATGTAAAATCTTTTACTACAATAAACGCAACAAGTAAATCCATTCCATTTAAAAAAGACATAAACTTTTGATTAAGACATTAAATGAGCTAACTGCATTGACAAAGCTATGTTTAGGTTAAAAAAATTGTCAAGAAATATTGCGATTTTAACGAGTAAAGTATGGTCAATTTTTCACAAAATCTTAATTTAAAGGTTAAACTGTGATGTGTAATTATTAGTTCAATAACTAGGACTCTATTTTTGTAGTTAATTTATTTATTGGAATATCACAGCATCCTTGAAAGCGATTTAAAAATGTTTTTTCATCTCTACATGTTTAAGCAGAATGAAAATTACTCGCTTAATTTTGGTTAGAGTAAAATCACCCATTATAAAATTAAAAGAGAACAATATTCCCAAGGGCAAGACGGTGCGTTTTTTTCATTATTCCAAATATAAAGCTCAATCCATAGTTTAGAAATAACGTAACTTTTCACAAAATGATTTTTTTTTTTTAAAACGCACCGTCTTGTCCTCCGAAATATTGTTTTCTTTTAATTTTATAATGGGTGCTTTTACTCTAAAACCAAAATTAAGCGAGTAATTTTCAATTGGCGTAAACATGTTTTTACCACTGAAAATCACCGGTGCGGCGCCCTCTTAAGATAGTACAACTAAAATGTAAAAAATTACAAATTTAACACAGTTGTAGTCCTAGCATAAAAAGTTGCAATTGCAGAATTTCTATTTAAAGCTAAATACAAAGTTTAATAACTCTTTTAAGTAAAATCATTTTTTTTCTCTCCAAAATTACAAGCTTTTGCAGTCAGTATTTTATGTTTAATGTTACGTTAAAAATTAAAATTAAATCTAGACAATAAATGTCGCGAGTCTCTAACAAGTTATTTATTAATTAAAATCATCAAAATTTGACTAGTTTTAGCTTTAAAATATATGACAATGTGGACAATATCACTTTAACACGATACCAATTTTAATTATAAACATTGACCAAATTAACAAAATATGTATTAAAATTTTTAAAAAAGTGCATTTAACACAACAATGCATCCAATAGTAATAATACAAATATAAATAAAACATGTCAAATGCTAAAAAAAAGGCTGCAGATTAAAGTGGGATAAATCACTTTTATATAAAACATTTGAATAATATTTTGTTGGGTTTTATATAAATCATTGACAGACATTACACAGATGGTGCACGTTATTTGTGTTTTGTGAGGTGAGGTTTTTGAGTAAATGGTTTAGAGCACTAGATAAATTTTAAATTCTTTTTCCCAGTGTGCACGCGTTTGTGGTGTCGTATGAGGTTGGATTTATCAGAAAAAGTTTTTGAGCACACATTACATTTAAAGGGCTTTTCCCCGGAGTGCACTCGTTTGTGTATTGTGAGGCTGGGAGTATGAGAAAAAGTTTTTGAGCACACGTTACATTTAAAGGGCTTTTCCCCGGAGTGCACTCGTTTGTGACGTGTAAGGTTGGGTAATTGAGAAAAAGTCATTGAGCACACGTTACATTTAAAGGACTTTTCCCCAGAGTGCAATCGTTTGTGTAGTGCGAGGTTGGATTTTTGAGTAAATAACTTGGAGCACAAATTACATTTGAAAGGCTTTTCCCCAGAGTGCACTAGTTTGTGACGTGTGAGGCTGAAATTATGAGTAAATAACTTAGAGCACAAATTACATTTGAAAAGCTTTTCCCCAGTGTGCACTCGTTTGTGTAGTGTGAGGTTAGATTTTTGAGTAAATAACTTGGAGCACAAATTACATTTGTAAGGTTTTTCCCCAGTGTGCACGCGTTTGTGTATTGTGAGGTTAGAACTTGTAGAAAAAGGCTTAAGGCAGACGTCACATTTATAGGCTCGGCTGATGTTCGAGTATGTGTTAGTAAAATCCGTTAAACTTTGGTGGGATTTTAATATATGTAAAGTTATTTGTTTTTTGGTGTCAAATATTTTTTGACATAAATGACATTGGAAAAACCGTCGTTTGGGTATATCTTCATTGTTATACTTTGTTGCTGATTTTTTATTGTTATCTGTTTCAATCCTCGATTCGAAATAACAACCGTCAGTTTTTTTGTTCACTTCATTTCTCGTACGATGGTCACTAAAACAAAACATTATCGAACAATAAATTACAACGTTTTGATAATATATATATCTTTTTTCACAATTGTAAATCTAATTTGAAATAAAGTAAATGTACTGAATATACAACATTTTAGGTTAGTGTAAAAATTGTATTTTTTTAAAAGTTTTAAACAACTGAAATATATACATCAAAAAGTTGTTTAACTCTGTGAACGAAGACATAATAAATGTCGCCTATGTAAACTGAACCAAACGCTTATCACCTATTTATCGATGAATAACTCAAGAAACATTGATTTTGAATAAATAAAACATATACAGGCAAAAAGAGACTTTTAACAATACCGAAACACATAAAACCAAAATAAAAGGATTAGTTGGCAAAGTCTATAGTTTCAAAGAAAGTTATTTACATAGTCGTTTCATACTAAATATGTAACTATTACTTTATTACAAAAAAGGGTTTGAGATTAAACAGTGCCTTACTTGAATTCGTTTTCGACATCTGTTGTAACTGCACGTTCATCAATCATAGGAATGCCACTGTGCGATTTTGTTATATGATGTTTCAATTGCTTTTGAGATGTAAATGACTGCAGACACAAGTCACATATTTCCTCCACCAAGCTGTGTGTTGCTAGCATGCCCAAAGCCTTAGTTTCTTGGATTTTTATCAAAGATTTATAGCAATGTTTTTCCATTTTATCATTCTCTTGTTCAATGTTAGTTTCGTTGATCATATCGTTATCTCTACGAGTAAAATCCGTTAAACTTTGGTGGGATTTTAATATATGTAAAGTTATTTGTTTTTTGGTGTCAAATATTTTTTGACATAAATGACATTGGAAAAACCGTCGTTTGGGTATATCTTCATTGTTATACTTTGTTGCTGATTTTTTATTGTTATCTGTTTCAATCCTCGATTCGAAATAACAACCGTCAGTTTTTTTGTTCACTTCATTTCTCGTACGATGGTCACTAAAACAAAACATTATCGAACAATAAATTACAACGTTTTGATAATATATACATCTTTTTTCACAATTGTAAATCTAATTTGAAATAAAGTAAATGTACTGAATATACAAAATTTTAGGTTAGTGTAAAAATTGTATTTTTTTAAAAGTTTTAAATAACTGAAATATATACATCAAAAAGTTGTTTAACTCTGTGAGCGAAGACATAATAAATGTCGCCTATGTAAACTGAACCAAACGCTTATCACCTATTTATCGATGAATAACTCAAGAAACATTGATTTTGAATAAATAAAACATATACAGGCAAAAAGAGACTTTTAACAATACCGAAACACATAAAACCAAAATAAAAGGATTAGTTGGCAAAGTCTATAGTTTCAAAGAAAGTATATTTACATAGTCGTTTCATACTAAATATGTAACTATTACTTTATTACAAAAAAGGGTTTGAGATTAAACAGTGCCTTACTTGAATTCGTTTTCGACATCTGTTGTAACTGCACATTCATCAATCATAGGAATGCCACTGTGCGATTTTGTTATATGATGTTTCAATTGCTTTTGAGATGTAAATGACTGCAGACACAAGTCACATATTTCCTCCACCAAGCTGTGTGTTGCTAGCATGCCCAAAGCCTTAGTTTCTTGGATTTTTATCAAAGATTTATAGCAATGTTTTTCCATTTTATCATTCTCTTGTTCAATGTTAGTTTCGTTGATCATATCGTTATCTCTACGAGTAAAAAACAATATATGTTATAATTTTTTTATATATTTTATAAAAATAATTTATTTTTTACATAGTAATAGTTTTGGTTAATACAAAAAAATGTTTAAGTAAAATCTTGTTTTTATCCAATATTTATATATTATTTAAAATGTTCAGATAATAAAATAATGTTATATAGATGTTAAATTTTAAATTCACACACTAAACATAAATTTCAAGTATGTTTGGATGTGAAGTTAGTGATTAATTATTATTATTACTGATGAAGACAAAAGAGTAAAATGTGGGCTAGTGTATGACAGTTAAAAAACCAATTATGTTCTCTACCTCATAGCTCCATCGAAGAGTAGATAAAATTTTAGTAAAAATTCAAAACAAGTTAGGAAAAGACTATTATGGTATTTTGAGATTTAATATCGACTTACTCGAAACCAGTATCGACTTCGTCTTTAATTTGAATTTCATTGATCTTAAAAATATCATGATGTGATGTTGTAATATGATGTTTCAATTGCTTTCCGGATGTAAACGATTCTAAACACAATTCGCATTTTTCGTCTGCCAAGTTGTTCGTTGCTCGCATGTCTACAGATGTCGTTTCTTCAACTTGTATCAATGATTCGTAGCAATGATTTTCCATTTCATCAAATTCGTGTTTAACATTAGTCCCGTTGATGATATCTTTATCTCTAAGAGTAAAAAACCGCAAAATGTTTTTTTTTATTCATTAGTTAAGTTAATTTCTAATTTTACCCACAATATAATTACTTTTATTTATTTATTTTATTTATTTTACGTCTGACGGCAATTTACAAGAAAATACTTACATGTTGGTAAATAATAAAGATAAAAATTAAATTATATAAATTACAATTATTAATAATAGTATACGGTTAAAAATAGTGAAACGCATGCAAATGAAAGTAAAAATAAACATAGTAACAAAATAAAACATTCTGTGGGCCGAGTCTAAGATTTAATTTATACTTTACTAGGACTAAAAGTCTAGGAGACTGGGGTCCGAGTTAATTATATTCATGGTTCTTTGGATAGGGTCATTACATAAATAGTTTGTTTTCCGAGTGCTGATTTCGAAAACCTGTTTATTACGGTACCCAAGCCTAGGTACATGAAATGTGACTCTATTAAGTAAACGGATAGCATCGATCTTACCATGCACTAAATTATTAATAAATCGAATGTCTAACAATTTTCTTCTCGCTACAAGGCTAGATAAGTTCAAGAATTCAGCTGTACTGCTGTGTAATTATGAGGGGGATGAGAAATGTTTAAAACATAACCAGCGAATGATAAAAAACGATTTTGAACCCTTTCAATTTTTTTAATGTCTTTCTGGGTATAAGGAGACCATATAACAGATCCGAATTCTAAAATTGACCGTACTAATGATGAGTATAACGTTATGAGGCAATTAGCTTGGTCAAAGTTTGACGCATTTCGACGAATAAAACCAAAAATACGTAGTGCTTTACAAGTAATGAGCTCAACATGAGTACTGAAAGATAAAGAAGGCACTAATGTAAATCCTAAATCTTCTACCTGATATACTCGAGGCAGACATTTATTTAAAATTGAGTAATCAAAATGTAATTTATTATGCGTTCTGAAAAATGACATTACCCTGCATTTATCAATGTTTAAAGAAACTCCAAACATTTTACACCAATCAACTAGTTTATCTATCGAATTTTGCAGTACAATAAAGTCATCTGGAGTTTTTATTTTATGAAAAATTTTAGCATCATCTGCAAATAAAAGTATTCTACAAGGCGAAATAATCTTCGATATAGTATTGATAAAAAAGGTTAAATAAAAGCGGTGACAAGTGTCCACCTTGAGGTACACCTGATGTTACTTTAACGTGTTCCGATTTATTATTAAGTAAATCAACAAATTGAAATCTGTCACTGAGGTATGATTGAATCCATGATAATAATGGATTTCCCACACCCAGCTTACCCAAAATAAGGATTAATGTATTATGCTCCACTGTGTCGAATGCTTTCAAAAAATCTGTATATATAACATCAACTAGTTGGTGCAGTTCAAATGCATCTAAAACATAGGTGGAGAAGTCGATCATATTAGTAACCGTGGATCGACCAGGTATAAAACCGTGTTGATCTTCGGATAGTATTGATCTAAATTGCCTTTCAATTTTCTTTAGAACCAGGAGTTCAAAAAGCTTACCAATAAGAGGTAACCCAGAAATCGGACGGTAATTTATAATATCAGTGTTACTTTTACAGTTACATTTAGGTAAAACTAGATATTTTGTATTTAATTATTCAAGAATATTTCAACCAGAACTTCTGTCTGGAATGTAGTGATGTGAAGTTATGACAACTTATAAATTAATAAAAATGTGTAATTATTGAAAGTATTTCTCACCCGAGTTTTTTCCCGGCGACTTTTCTTTGGGGATTTTTTCGGGACGAAGAGATCATATTGTTATGCGATGAATATTTCAATCTTTTGGAAGTTAACCACTCTTCGTCACTAGTTCCAATCCGAACGGCAGTATTTTGTTCAAAACGTACACCTATCACCGACTCGAAATTCCAATATTCATCCGTTTGACGTTTCCCTTGGACAGTTTGACACTTATAACACCGTTACTAAATTGTTACAATATACTGAGACAAATAGCATTAAAACATAGTATCATCAAAGGTTTATAAAGTGTTTCCGCGTTTGTTGACGATTTTGTAAAACACCGCTGGTGACTGGTGTGTGCCATAAACAATGAAAAAAAATGGATCGATAGTAGGGATTGCAGAGAGGGATATCCGAGGGTCAATATCGATAGTATATTTGTTCAAGCCCCGCGCGCTTCAATATTTACCTTCACTGCGTTCTACCTCCAGCCGACCACCGCGTACCGCAGTCCCCGCTGTTATCACATGTTGTAGACTATTCTGTGATAGTGCAGTCCTGTTTGTATGCATGTGTATCGTTTATTATGAGTTACGCAGTATAATATATTTATATACTTTATAATAAGACAACGTCACTTGAGGTTTTGTGAAAAAAGTTATTATTCACTGTGCGTTTTTACCAAATAACATTCTAGATCAGCGCTGTGCCGTCTCGAAGTAGCTCTGTAAACGTAAGTACCGATATTAACATTTTCATCTATAACAATTTACACCAGTTTTATTTATTTTGATAATAAAGTACAGAGTTTACTGGTTTAATAAGGATTTTTGAAACACTAGTTTACTGTTATATTAGGGAACAGATTTCTCTACTTTATTTTAATGTAAACTGACTTGCTGAACTTAAAAAAAAACATTTAAAATGAAAATTGATAAATTGTAAAACACCACAAAAGTAATAATTTTGTTAATTGAGACTTCTAATAATTACAATTAGTAATAATAATTTATTATTGATATACTGTTCAATTGTTCTATAGTTCCTCTAAAAGCTTTCTACATTTTGATATCTTGTTACCAATCTAGACAATTCATTAGGCTTATATAATTCATAAGAATATTGTACACCAATTGTTACGACTGCTAGTTAGCAGCATATGTTCTGGCCAATTATTTGCATGACGACGACGACTCGTTATTATTTCGATGGAAATAAGATGTGATTATATATTTAAAGTAGGCGCACTACTTAAGTACCGCAAGTTAGTGTCGTTTTCGGGCTGGGGGGGCTAAGGCTAAAGCATGTCCATGCTAAAAATGTAATTCCTTTTTTACTAAATCAGCATTGTGATATAATAATTTATATCGAGTTGTCATTTTTTATATGCTTACTAGTAAATTTATTTTCTTAACAAATATAATCTACGGTCAACAGAAATAATAAATATTTTAAATGTATAATTGTTGTAGGTCTGAGCGGTAGGCAAGCGGGTAAATGTGGCAGAGAGAAATTAGGTTAATGTTTAAACACAGTTGTTAAAAAAAAACACGTTAAACTTTATTGTAAGTAATTGACCAATATTACAATTAAAAAGGTCTCGCGGTAACCCGAGAATGACGTCGACGCGACTGACGGCTGGGTAAATTCCAATATTGTTTATCAAAGACGGCACGGGTCGCCGTATCGGAAGGGAAGAATAATATATATATTTATATATATACAATATCAATAATTAAACACAATATTACCACATTGTTAAGAGAAAAATTGAATTATATTTTGATGGTGGGGTAAAACAGTGATGAGGTACCGATATTAACATTTTCATCTATTACAATTTACACCAGTTTTATTTATTTTAATAATTAACTACAGATTACAGTAATAAAATAATATTAAAAACCCTCGACTGTAAAAATGATATACTCTTAGCGTATATTGGCAACAATGTTGTCATCTTCACCGCTAACGACAAACTGAGAACTCGGTCTTATACTCAGACTTATAAACTGAGGTGCGCCATCAATAGCCGTAGGGATGAAAACGCTAGTTTACACCCATCCGGTGTAGTAGATGCCATGATCCTTTTCTTATGTAAACATTAAAATATTTTTCTATAAATTGGTTTTTAAGAAATTAGTTTTTTATTGTGTCATAATTTCATTCCCATGTTTTACTCGATTGCACTTAAACTACTGAACCGATTGACATCATTGTGATAAACATCATTGGTAATTCAATTACTTGCATTTGATAGCTTGTGCGACTAACAGATAGGAGATTCCAACTCGAGATATTTATTAAATTGTGAGCCTACCTTGTGATTTTTAAAAATTTCATATTATCTTGAAAACAATTCATAAAACAATTTGTTTTAATATTATCATTTTATAGTGTTATTTGTCTTAATAAATTAATAAGTAATCTACAGTTTACGGGTTTAATATGGATTTTATAAACAATTCAAATGGTTAGTGTACAATCATTTAGACGTATAGACTTACAGAGTGAGTTACTAATATATTTTTAGGATTTCTGTTATTCATGATCCATAGTTTTAAATAGTCTAACTTTGACCATTAATCATTATGTATTAAGAAACCCGGGTTAGGACAAAACCAAACCGGACTGGTCTTAATAATATATTTGTATTATTGATTTTACTAAAAAAAATTGTCAAGCCCGGATCAGACCATTGCCATATTTTGACTAGACCGGACCGCACCCTTTAAATTTAACTGGACTAACCCGGACCTAACCGGATCAATTAAAAAAACTGTAGCTAGTGACTGGACCGGATTAACCCGGGAAACAGTCCGGGCTTTTGTGGTCCGGTTTGGGTTAGCCCGGGACCGGACTAATCTCTAGTGTATATTATTTTACCCATATGTCATCTCCATGTATATAAATTGTTTTTTTTAACAAATTATTCTATTATTTCTATTTCTATTAGCAACTATAAAAACTAATTATTTTAAATAATAATGTTCATACTTAAGTGGCCAAATATTATATATGCATATTGTATTAATATGCATTAGGTCGAACCATAACATATAAATGATAATAAAATCAAATTGTAAATAGTCATAAATATGTATTAGCCCGTAATATTAAAATTAAAAAAAATAAGAGTAGAATTTGATGTACTTAACACTACTATGTTAAGGGCATAGGACAATGTATCAAAAATGAGTACTATCCTACGAAAAAGAGTATGTGTGGTCGCTATAGTTAAAGTAGCAATAGTCTTAAAAAACTCCTCTAAAAGATTTTTTTGGAAAGTATACTTGTAAGATTATCTTTAATATAAGTTTTACTTTGTAATGAGGAAAGGTTACGTTTTTTTTATCGTTAATAAATTCGTTTTTGATCATGTTACAAATGCTACTTTACTCTTAGCAGATATTTTTAATTCCTTGTAAGATCATTAAAACTTATATTTTTTTGTTTTTAGGGACAGGCGAACGAGCAACGAAATGGTAGTCAAAGTTGAAGTAGATAATGTGGATGGAAATTGTTTTGAATCTGTCTTACAATTTGATAAAAATTATCTTTTTGATATGCCAACGAAAAACTACGATTTCGACGAAATACATTCTTATGTATGTGATGTATGTAAGAAGTCGTTTTCTAACAAACAAAAAGTGTCTCAACATATTTCTCATAATTTTGTCTCAAATTTTCATTCTAGAAACATTTGTCCTATCACAGATTAACATGAATTTAATTTTTTAAGCTTATACACGAATTTATATTTTCCAAATAGACAATAAACAAAAACATTACCTGTAATAAAGACTTTATCATCTTTTTAGTTCTAATAAATGTATTTAAGATATAACAAGTAATTCAGACTTTTGTCGACGGATACAATTTAATTTTAGGCCACGATTGCACAAGTATAATTTTCTTTGTATCTTCTAGTAAATTTATAATTAAAACTGAATAATAAATTAGAGGTACTACACAGCAGAAGCTAACCAAGGGATTCCCCTCCACCTGTTCCAACATATTGCAACCTCTAACGTTACATAAATAACACATACTTTGTAATCGAAATTAAAGGCCAAAGAAAAAAATTATAAATTTAGGACTAACTTTTACTAAGAGGATTTAATTATTAAAAAGTAATATTTAAGTGAATACCACAACAAACCCGTTTGATGTCTCTTCTGTTCTAACAACCAGATGTTTTCGTTGTGTAATAACTTTTACATTAATGTTCTCCCAAAGTATTAACAAATACAAATAAACCATCAACAAAAAAATGTGTAAATAATTTTACGACTAAACTGAATTCAAAAAAGGTGTTATTAAAAAAAATTAGTACTATATTTGAATACCATAGGATTTAAGAGTAATATCATTGAAAGTAATGATATGACTTTTTAAGGATAACTCTGTTCCTGTCATGTTAACCAATTGCCATTGATTTTTTTGTCTGTCATATCTTTCACAATGAAGTTTTCCTCTATTATTCACAAACACGAATAAGTCGTTTTTCATGATAACAACACCTGCATTTAAAAATAATTATGAGTAAAATAATGACTTATATACTTGATTAAATGTATACAGACTTGAGCAGTATATATTACAATCCATGTTCATGTCAGGCATTTGATCCCATTTGAAATGTTGTAAATCGAATTTAAAAACTTGTCGAAGTGCGAGTGAACCACCAATGAGATAAATGACGTTATCTATTCTTGACAAACCCATGGTATGATTACAAATCGGCATTTCTAATTGTTTCCAGTGTTTCTTTTTAAAATCATAGTACTCTACAATTGCCAGAGACCTATCATTATATCCACCAAACTACACAAAACAATAAAAATTAATTCAAATGCTAACAAACTATAATAGCTTGTTAAATAAATATTTTACAATTATTTTGTAATACAAATAATAAAATATAAGTATAAACATATTTAGTCGTTAAGCATGGTATTTATCGTTAAATTGTGTTTACTTACAACATATAATTTATTACTAACTACGACAGCACTGCACCTGTATCGAGCAGTGGGCATTGGTTCAATTTCGGTCCATACTTTTGAATTTGTATCATAGTATTCGATAGAATTTAAACGATTTGTATTTGATTCATTATAGCCTCCAACCTAAGTATAAAAAATGTGTATTCATTATGTTAACTACAAACAAATTAATACGTGCGACATATATGTACTGTTTGTAAGTACAAACAGCAAAGTGTGTTCGTGGTTGATTCAATGGCCTTGTAGAAA